CAGTATGGGGAGAGGGTAGTAGGTGTAGATGGAGTTGACTAACAAATTGGATTCAGTGGGGAAAATACTTATTTGATCCCCTGCAGATTTTGTAGGTTTCCCTACTTACAAAGAATGAAGAGTCTATCATTTTTATCATAGGTGTATATTAAATGATAGAGACAGAATATTCACCAAAAATCCAGAAAAAAACGCATGATACAAATGCTACAAATTGAGTTGCAGTTCAGTGTATAAAGTAAGTATTTGATCTCCTACCAACCAACAATAAGTCTGGCTCCCACAGACTGGCTATTTTCTCATGTGATGCACAGATTAGTCCTGTCAGTTTAAGAAGGTGCTCCTAATGACAGCTCGTTATCTGTATAAAAGATACCTGTCCACAGAATCTCTTTCTTGGGCACCACCATGGGCAAGATCAAAGAGCTGTCAGAGGCAAGATTGTTGACCTGCACAAGGCTGGAATGGGCTACAAGACCATCAGCAAAAACTAACTGCATTCCTGTGATACACAGAAGTACAGCCAAAAACGCTTTGGCTGTACTTCTCCTTTAATATTCACCTGTCCAATAGTTCCATCTTCTTATGAGTACTCGTCTTAGTTAACAACACAGATCTCTTCTGTCAGCGGGGATGTGCACATACACCACACAGTACAGTTCTCCCTAACACACAGCCCTTTGATTGCCCCAGATGTTAACCCCTTCCCGCCCAGTGTCAGTACAGTGACAGTGCTTTTTTGTTTTATTTTTTTTTTTTGGCACTTATCACTGTACTAGTGTCACTAGAGATGCTTGTGGCAGTTAGGCTCAGTTCACACTAGCTTTGTAAGCAGGCATTTGAGGGGTGTTTTTAACGCTCCTCAAATACCTATGAAAATTGTACACATGGCAGCACACAGTGCTGTTCTCATTAAAGCGTTAGCGTTGTGGCAAAATTGATGCCTCATGTCTAGTCAGGAGGAGTTGAAGCCTTTCAACTCCTCCCTTTCAAGTCTATGGTGACCCTCCTCAAATGCCTGGCAGGCATTTGCGGGGCGTTAATACCATTAACTTCATTATAGGCATTTGTGGTGAGGTTTTAATGTTTGGAAAATGCCTATGAAATACCTAAAAAACGCACATAGGGCGTTTGGGGTGCGTTAAAAATGCTCCCCAAATGCCTAATACCTGTCGGACGCTATAAGGGCGTTTGGGAAAAAGTTAAGTGTGAACAAGTCCTTTTTCAGTTCCCACCCAGTGTCAGAATGCCCACCATACTATCATAATCCCACTATAAGTCGCTGATTGCCGCCATTACTAGTATAATAAAAAGCAAATAATTCCAGTACATATAGGATTGTTTGTAGACACTATAATTTCCATCCAAACCAATTAATATACACCTATTGGGATTTTCTTTTTACTAAAGACATGTAGCACAATACATTTTGGCCTAAATTTATGAAAGTTTTTTTTTTTTTTCTTTTCTTCATGTGCTTTATAGCAATAAGTAATATATAATATATATATATATATATATATATATATATATATATATATATACCCACACACGATATAAAATGTCAGGTTTCTGTGATGTAAAAAAAATGAGACAAAGATAAATCATTTCAGATCTTTTTCCACCTGTAATGTGACCTATAAACTGTACAACTCAGTTGAGCAACAAACTGAAATCTTTTACGTGGAGGGAAGTAAACATAAAAAACTAAAATAACACCTGCCATCATTTAAAGTGCCTGTGATTAACCCCAAATAAAGTTCAGCTGTTCTAGTAGGTTTTTCCTGACATTTTCTTAGTCGCATCCTACAGAAAAAGCCATGGTCCGCAGAAAGCTTCCAAAGCATCAGAGGGATCACATTGTTTAAAGGTATCAGTCAGGAGAAGGGTACAAAAGAATTTCCAAGGCATTAGATATACCATGGAACACAGTGAAGGCAGTCTTCAAGTGGAGATAATATGGTGCAACAGTGACATTATCAAGAACTGGACGTCCCTCCAAAAAGGAGAAAACTGGTCTGGGGGGCCGCCAAGAGGCCTACAGTAACATTAAAGGAGCTGCAGGAATATCTGGCAAGTACTGGCTGTGTAGTACATGTGACAATAATCTCCCGTATTCTTCATATGTCTGGGCTTTGGGGTAGAGTATCAAGATGGAGGCCTTTTCTTACCAAAAAAAACATCCAAGCCCGGATAAATTTTACAAAAACACGTGTTATGGTCTGATGAAACCAAGGTTGAACTTTTTGGCCATAATTCCAAAAGATATGTTTAGCGCAAAAACAACACTGCACATCACCAAAAGAACACCATACCCACAGTGAAGCATGGTGGTGGCAGCATCATGCTTTGGGGGGTTTTTCATCAGCTGGAACGGGGCCTTAGTCAAGGTAGAGGGAATTATGAACAGTTCCATATACCAGTCAATATTGGCACAAAACCTTCAGGCTTCTGCTAGAAAGCTGAATATAAAGAGAAACGTCATCTTTCAGCATGACAACGACCCAAATCAACAAAGGAATGGCTTCACTAGAAAAAGATGAAAGTTTTGGAATGGCCCAGCCAGAGCCCAGACCTGAATCCGATTGAAAATCTGTGGGGTGATCTGAAGAGGGCTGTGCACAGGACATGCCCTCGCAATCTGACAGATATGGAGTGTGTTTGCAAGGAAGAGTGAGCAAATATTGCCAAGTCAAGATGTGCCATGCTGATAGACTCATATCCAAAAAGACTGAGTGCTGGAATCAAATCAAAAGGTGCTTCAACAACGTATTAGTTTAAGGGTGTGCACACTTATGCAACCATATTTTAGTTTTTTATTTTTACTTCCTCCACCTAAAAGATTTCAGTTTGTTGTTCAACTGAGTTGTACAGTTTATAGGTTACATTAAACGTGGAAAAAGTTCTGAAATTATTTCTTTGTCATTTTTTTTACATCACAGAAACCTGACATATTAACAGGGGTGTGTAGACTTTTTATATCAACTGTATATAAATATAAATAAATGCCACCAAAAGAATGCTCTATTTCTGTGAAAAAAAATCAATTTCATCTGTGTACAGTGTTGTATGTCCGCGCCATTGTCTGTTAAAATAGCGCAATGCCACACAGAAAAATCGACCTGTTGATGAAGGGGGGGTACATTTTCTGGAGGGCAAGTGGTTACTAATGGAGTATAGAACAATTGGCATCCAGTCCACCTACAGGAATTTTGTGAGATTTCGAGCGACTCGACTCCCCTGCCTCTTTTTCCCTGCTAAAGTCACTGACAGGGTGGTAGTGGGCAAATGAAAGTCATGCTCATAAATCTGTGCTGCTTTCCATTACCTACCTGTTGCTATAACATATCAGCAGCCCCTTACAAGAAAGCTGCTGAACCCAAGTCTTCACAACTGAAAAAGATAAAAGTTGTTAACTTTTAGCTCACCAGCAAGCCAGAGCTATAGATTCACAGATACAATGACAGGAGGTGTGTCTTAAATGGTGGCGTAGGTCATAGAATACAGAATGCCAATAAGGGGAAGACATTTATTTTTCTTGTTAAGCATCATTGAGTGTCTTGAAAACATAAAGTCTGTCTAGGCAAAAAAAAAACACATTACTACAACTCTAAAATACATTACATTCCACAATGTTTTTTTTCCAAAACACTGCCAGTGTAGAAAACCACCTGTTGATCTGCCAAAAATCCGATATGTTGTGAACTTAAGCTAGCCATGGCTCAAATTTTGTCTGAATAGGCTGAAATCTATACTGTGGGTGGCCCTGTGGGCAAATGCTGAGACTGTCTAAATACAACCACCAGCCAGGGAGTTTCCTTCATCCACACTCTGGGGCTGAGAAATCTAAATGTGTCTAGCTAACCCTACTGCAGATCGCTTTTCAGATGGGCTGCCACATGAGTAAACAAGCCCTAGGACAGCAGGCAATCATTTAAGGATCGACAGCTGACTGAAGGGTTGAGCCAGCTGCTGTTTAGACATCTTGGTGGAGCCCGACAATAAGGTTGGGATCCTTCCAGAGCCTGGAGCTGCTCTGCGCTATCAACTGACAGCGGGCTTTTGCACACTGTCATCTGTTTCTGGGTCACAGGTGTGCAAAAGTAAGTGCACTACTGTGACCCAGAAGAGAAATATGGGCAGCACAGTGGCTAAATGGTTAGCACTTCTGCCTGGCAGTACTAGGGTCATTAGTTCGAATCCCAACCACGACACCACCTGCCTGGAGTTTGCATGTTCTCCCTGTGTCTGCGTGGGTTTCCTCCGGGTACTCCGGTTTCCTCCCACATTCCAAAGACATGCTGGTAGGTTAATTGGCTCCTGTCTAAATTGTCCCTAGTATGTGTATGTATGAATATGAGTTAGGGACCTTAGATTGTACACCCCTTGAGGGTTAGGGACTGATGTGAATGTACAATACTGCGTAAATTGACAGCGCTATAGAAGTGCCTGCAATAAATAGGTTTGCCAATAAAAGCTATGGTTATACTTCTCTTTTTAAAAGTGTTTTTTTTTTTTCTGCGTAACAACTGAATAGGATCTTGTAAGTCCTATTCTCAATGTCTGTCTATTGCCTGTGCTGTTCAGTTCAAATACATTTGTTTTTGAAGAGTTATGCAGGCCATAGATGGGGAGAAAAAAAACGGCAGATTTTTCTTTTAAAAAACGAAAATTCGGTCGTTCAAGCGGCCGACGTTACCATCAATGGTAAAAAAAATTGGCCGATTTTCATCCCCTCTACGGCTGGCAAAAAGTGTCCCTGCAGAGAGCGCCGCTATTTCTGACAGTTCTCTGACAGTTCCTTCACATTTACAGCGGTTGAAAAACATTGTATCTATTTGTTTCCATTTAGAATACAGATGTTTTTATTCGGAAACAAATAGATACAATGTTTCAACCACTGTAAATGTCAAAGAACTGTCAGAGAACTGTCAGAAATAGCGGAGCTCTCTGCAGAGATACTTTTTGCTGGACTGGAATTCTTCTTATTTTCATCCTACTTCTTCTTCTTCTTCTTCATCATCCTCATCCTCTTCTTCTTCTTCTTCATCCTCATCCTCTTCTTCTTCTTCTTCATCCTCATCCTCTTCTTCTTCTTCCTTCTTCTTCTTCTTCCTCTTCTTCTTCTTCTTCTTCATCCTCATCCTCTTCTTTTTCATCTTCTTCTTCTTCTTCTTCTTCATCCTCATCCTCTTCTTCTTCTTCTTCTTCTTCATCTTCTTCTTCATCTTCTTCATCCTCATCTTCCTCATCTTCTTCTTCTTCATCTTCATCTTCTTCTTCATCTTCTTCTTCTTCTTCATCTTCTTCTTCATCTTCTTCTTCTTCATCTTTCATCTTCTTCTTCTTCTTCTTCTCCTCATCCTCTTCTTCCTCATCCTCTTTTTCTTCCTCATCCTCATCTTCTTCTTCTTCCTCATCCTCATCTTCTTCTTCTTCATCCTCATCCTCTTCTTCTTCATCCTCATCCTCTTCTTCTTCTTCTTCATCCTCATCCTCTTCTTCTTCCTCATCCTCTTCTTCTTCATCCTCATCCTCTTCTTCTTCTTCCTCATCCTCTTCTTCTTCTTCTTCATCCTCATCTTCTTCTTCCTCATCCTCTTCTTCTTCTTCCTCATCCTCTTCTTCTTCTTCCTCATCCTCTTCTTCCTCTTCATCCTCTTTTTCATCCTCTTCTTCATCCTCTTCTTCTTTTTCTTCTTTTTGTCTTCCTCTTGCAGGTCACTGCTCATGCGCAGATTTTTTATCGGTAAAAAATCGGCCGATTGGCCCATTAATGCCGCGAAAATCGGCCGATCGGCCGATTTTTTTCCAACTTTACCAAAAAAAAAAAAACGGCCAAAATCCCGAAAAACGGCCGAACCAAATCGCCCACTAACGATCCGAAAATCGGCCGATTTTATTTTCGGCCGACAAATCGGCCGATTTTCGACCCATCTATGGCCTGCATTAGTGTATCTTTACTGATCTCTGTGAAAAAACATTCCCAATCAATTCAGCATCCTCAGTGACATGCTGTGCTCTATTGCATAGTCCTGCCACTGTGAACTGTCAAAACCTAGTACCCTCACCCCCAAAAGGTGCCAAATGTGGCAGAGGAGGGGGGGCAGAGTCAGATAAGCAGAGCTTCCAATTTTGGGTGGAACTCTACTTTAAATAATAATCTGAAAAAGTAAGCATTCTTTTACATGCATGCTAGTGTACTGAGGATACTGTAATGGTTGGCGTTGGTTTTGGCACAAGTCCATGAAGGTGAGTTGACCCTTTAACATTGCATTTAATGCAAAATGCAAAATATGTGATATGTTTAAAACTGAACACAAAGCTGTCAGGTTTGTCATCCAGTATTTCCACCCTTCCATGTCTCAGTTCAATGTATTCATTGCACTTTGTCATTGTGCATCACTTGTATACTGCTCTTTGCACTGTTTTTATTTTTGGAAAACCTAATAAAACCTTTTGTAAAACAAAAGTAGTTCATCCACTACTTTTGGTGTGGTGCGATTTCTGCCCATTCAAAATGAATTGGCTGAAATTGCACTGCACAGAACTGCATTTCATCTGATAAGTTGTGAATAAGATGCATTTTGCATATAAACCAAGGACCAGTAGTATTTTTCAGTGGCAGAATTTTACTGCACTATTTAAATTGACGGCGCTATAGAAGTACCTGAAATAAATACTGCACAGTTTTATTAAAAATTAAGGTAAAAGGTCACAAACCTCAGTAGTGCAGTCCATCCTTTCACCCTTAAAGTTTCAGAATTTTATCCTCCGTTCTTGGGAGCATATCTAGGGCCTGTGATCACTTCTGGAGCAGAAATGTACCAACATTTCACACCCTGTAGGTGTTCCCAGGCAATAATGGGTCTAATCAGATGCTGGATTGTGTCACTAGCTATATGATCCAAATGCATACAAAATCTTGTTTCTGTTGGAATATTTGGTAAGAGGTTGCTCTGGTATACTACAGTATTTTAGCAAGTGACAAATCTGGATAAAAAATGAGGTGTATAAATATGAATAATGGCATAATAGTTTCCCTAGATAAATGGAAAACCGTGAATCGTCTTTCCTTTTTTGCTATTTTACTGCCCCCATGGCTTAATAAATGTTATCCTGAAGACCAATATTGTAAAAATGCTACTTCTGACATTATCCACATTTTATTTAGTTATTAAATCAACGGTTTCCTTTAAAATGATATTAAAGGTTTTATTAAACGAAAAAAAAAAAAATGTTCTACATACCCACTCTCAGCAATGGTTTTGCACAGAGCAGCCCCTATCATCTTTTGGGGTCACCCACTGGTGCTCTTGGCTCCTCCCCCTTGACCAGTCCCCCCCCCCCCATAGCAAGTGGCTCGCTATGGGGGGCACAGGTGCATGCTCACTCCTGAGCCCCGCTCTGTGTCCATAAGACACATAGAGCTGTTGCTTGGCACTGCTCCCCCTCCCCGCTCTCCCCTCATTAGCTTACTTGCTGTTATTGACAGCAGTGGGAGCCAATGGCTTGGGCTGCTGTGTCTCAGCCATTGAGGAGAGAGAGAGATCCAGGATTTTTGATAGTTGCCTTTTAAAACTCATTACATTCATTTTCTGATGAATACCTAAGTATATTTGTGTGTTTTTTTTTTTTTTTTTTTTTTTTTTTTTTTTTTTTTTAAATATCTTCTTAGGTTTCAGCAATAGGTGTGCATTTTAAAAAAGGTTTCCTTTTCTGAATCTAAATAGGATCTGTGAAATACTTCACTTTCCTAGGAAAGTGAATGGTGCTGTACATTCTGCATGAATGATCCTTTTGTAGTACATGTATATATCGTCAGCCTAATGGTGAGCCTGCACGGTAAAGAGCATTCATTGCCTCTGCACAGGCTACCTACCAGTAATGTGACGAGCACAAAACTGCCCTGTTTCCCTGTTCTTGGCTGGGCTCGAAGCCTTTAAACAACCTCATTGAAATGATTCCTTGTAAATGTATACTACTGTTTGGCTCTATTCTCCTGATACTTTGACCTTTTCAGATTGGGCCCCCTTGACACTCAAATGTGTACAGAAGCCTCAGTTATTCTTTTGTCCACAGATGTGTTCTTTGTGTGCTGTGCCTTCCTTTTATCAGGTATCCTTTTCCTGAAATACAGTAGATGTCTGTCTACAGACGTTGTGAATGATTCTACAGCTTTGCGTCTGTAAGGTCATCTTGGAAAGCTTTACTTGGCTAGTTTAAGTATGATTTTATAATTGTTGCCTTTTTAAAGTACATTTAAAGCCTAAAGCTTATAAGCTTTAGCACATAAGCTAAAGGAATTTCAGATTTCTTACAATTTTTTTTTGCAGCTTTTAGTTAAGATCAGGTGATTTGCCAGAAAGGTCCTTGTTCATTAATTTTATGTTATAGGGCAGGGGTGGGCAACTGGGGCCCTCCAGCTGTTGGTGAACTACAAGTCCCATCATGCCTCTGCTTTTGGGAATCATGCTTGTAACTGTCAGTTTTGCAATGCCTCATGGGACTTGTAGTTCTACAACAGGTGGAGTGCCACAGTTGCCCACCCCTGTTATAGGGTGATGATGCCATCTGTGCCCCTGTGTTGTCCGCCTGTCTCACAAGCTTTCAGTGGAGACCAAGTCCTCATTCACAGGGGTGTATCTAAGTGTACATCTGTGCCAAGGGCTGTGTTTACCCCACGAGATGCACAGGTTTTCTACTGGCAATCCCATTCATGTCTGTTGGGACCCGGCGGTGGCAAGGGCACAGCCACTGGCCCCAATTTGACAGTCATGCGGGTGCGTGTCCCAGAGACAGACAGTATGCAATCAGGAACAGGCACCTGCATGGTGGCTGTTTTGACACACTTTACACAGACATGGTCCACACAGTCATCACTATTGAGAAACCCAACATTAAAAATGCATAAATCTGTTGCTGGAGAGCTTCCATGTAAAATAGAAATGTGATGTGCATTCAGTCCCTGGTCACGCCAGTGCGACTTGTCAGGCGATTTGATAGTTTCTGCAATTGAAATGGTCATAACGGAGCAATCCTGACTCTGTCGTAGGTAGCACTAATTTTGAAAGTACTTCAGGTAGTACTTTTTGCAATTTCAGGTGCGACTCGCATAGGCATCTATGCATGAAGTCACACAGATGTCTTCCAAGTCGCACCTGAAGTCAGACTGACATCCGAGTTCGTGAGAATTCAAGTGAAGTGATGAATTCGGATTCGGTGTGAACGAAAACTAAACGAAAAACATGAAAACAAGCATTTTATTCAGTTAAAGGCTTTTTTTTTTTTTTTTTTAAAAGATAAGTTCACATTTCTTAACATGGTATACCCATATGCAGATTGTAACATGTTACAAAAAGACCGGCCCCTGCTCCCCTCGTTGTGACCGCTATCGGGGGATCTTCTCCCCTGCTAGCAATTAAAAAAAAAAAAAAAAAAAAGTGGTCATGTGGGGTGCCGCCCGGCGTGCTGCATCACTCATTCACAGTATTCTGTGAATGGGAAAACTACAAGCTCTTACAGCCTATGCAGCTGTCGGCTTGTAGCTCTCAATGAACTACCACGGTGATGTTGAGCGCTGTGGTAGTTCATTGATTTTTCCTGTCAGTGTGTATCTGCTTGCCCATATGTGGTATGTACACACAGATACACTGACAAATCTGCAGGAGTCCTGCATGGCACCAGTGATCTGCTGATCGCTGGTGCAATTCTTTCCAGATTCCTGAAGCAAAATCTAGTAAATGCTGATTTTTTTTTTTTTTTTTTTTTTTTTAACTGCAAAAAAAATGTCCATTTTATTTTTTTGTTAAATGGTGAACTGACTGAAAATCCCAAACTGTCCATGCAATAGGACAGTCCCTGTGGTGAAATTCTTGTTTATGTGTAAGATACTCTTTAAGCCTCCTCTTTTCTACGATGCTCCAGCTTGTAGACAGGCTCTCGGCTTTCTCACTTAAAATACAGGACTGCATTGCATATTATGACATCAGAATATAGAATATAGCTTTAATACTTTATTATTATCATCATTACTGGTATAAATTACCTCATATAGTATTATCTGCTGTTTGTGTACTATAAAATGAC